GACAAATTACCTGAAACTGAACAGGCTCCTGAATTGGGACAGCAACATAAAAAATGTTGCGGGGTTAAACATGTTTTTGAAAGCTCAACCCTCCCCATACCTGGGACAGTGGTATAACAGCACAACATAAGAAGTCAATCATCCAACTCAGCAATGCACAAATTAATTTCAAAGTTAAATGTTATCTTTTATAAAATTGTATTTTTTTTTATCTATTCTTAGTATTCATGAGGCCAATAAGCATTATCAATATCTATTTTTAGTAATGCCCATGCATAAGCAAAGCATGTTTTATAATACAAACACGCGGCATAAATTGACAAATCACAGTTTTTGAATAATATCATATTATTATATTATTATAAAATAAATTAACTATTAATGTAATATTCAAAAAATTGAAACAAAACTAACCAATTAAAGCATCATGGTCATTCACATAGTTGTGTGAAAAGACATTGTATTGGTAACTTTAAAAACAATACAGGATTAAAAAGATGACAACAATGTGTTACCATAGTGTTGTGATAAAAATATCAGATGCCCAAGATAACGGATTCAATAAGTAAGTTATTTTTAGAGTTCTTCATTTTAACAGGACCAGATCAAGTCCAATATACAAGCTTAAAAGTTAGTGTGTGACATTACTATTCTATACTTCAGCTTGTACAGCAGGTTATTATGGAAAGACCTGCAAACACCAGTGCTTGCCTGGCTACTACGGTGAAGAGTGCACATTTAAATGCAATTGTTCTATGTTCCAAGATTGCCATCATGTATTAGGGTGTGTTTGTAAAACAAGCTATACAGGAAGCAGCTGTCATGAAGGTAGTATTTCACTATTGTAATAGTGTTTGTTCTTATCAATTTATAAAAACAGGGGATGTTGTAACTGTGTGTTAAATCAATTCCATTAATTTGTCTTCATACTTTGTGTCATCGTATTCACGATCAATTTACATTTTCCGGGTTTAAATCTGGACATTACTGTACAGCATTTTATTGTGACTGTAGCCTCATATCTATCTTTTGTAAAATCGACCTCACCACTCACATCATTTGACAAAGGACTGTTGAAGGATTCATTCTTGATCACAATTTTTGCTAACCACAGCATAAATGACATTTGAAATATCATAGTTGATGCCTTCAAACTGCCTGTGATATATTGAACTATTTATCAGGTTTTAGATGATATTCAACTACTTTTATATTGGGAGTATTTATTGCTACATTCCGGACAACGCCGTTTTGGAGTATCAATTGATATATTCTGGACAACGACGTTGCTCCATACCAATGATTAAATAACATTAATAATTATTTCACACATTGTAAAATTGTATTGTATTTTGTATTTTCAGTTATTTTCCACTTTTGGATTGGTGATAGAATAAAAGTCCCGTTTGTGTTTTCTTTACATTTACCTTAAAACTGGGCTAAACTTTCTGGTCGAGACAACACAAACAGAAAACCTGCTATTTATTTTTTACACCAAAAGATACTTTATGCTGTCTACTTAAAGCGATGTTTGAGACGGTTGTTTTTCTTTTTGATACTTAGTTAGTTTTTTAATCCGGCAAATTAAGTCTTGTCTTTTGTCAGTTCATTAATCATGCATAGTGACGAAGGTCAAATCTCTAAAGTGTCACCATGTCTATTAATTAACCTATGAATTACTCTGGTGTTAAGTTTTGATGAAAGGCAAATACAACAGTGGAATCGCTTTATGTCACTTAATGAATCATATTTGGTGATGAATATACACTCTACAATTAACTCATCTTAATTTTTAGTTTCAGATCATTGTTATGAAATTAATTCACTTTGAGTTTCATTAATAATAATATAAAAAAAAATTGAAAACCATACGGACCAGGTGAATTGCTGTGAATATACGACGGCCTCAAATAATAATTTAAACAGTAAACATGAAATTGTCATTAAGAAAATTTGCGTTCTGTCATCCAGCATCAACCACTAATAAATCTTTGATGGAAATCAAATGAAACATAGGACTGAATTGGTTTCTTAAACGTAGTTGATCCTCGATCATCCCATTAAACTTGTCGAAAGCTCTTTTTTAAATTATTTTTTTACTTAAACAAACTAAAGAGTGAAAAGCGAATTAAACAGTCTTTGGCAGAAGTTTATGTTCTTCTTTTTATGAAAGGAAATTCGATTACTTGAGACGATAGGCCTTGAAAACTTATTCATGTTTGTCATGTTCTTGAAAACGAAGAAGATATCCTGTTAGATTGTAATATATATACACATATGCATATAAAATAATAAGATGTATTTGATATGTTGAACGGGAAAGTTTGATTTATGTCTCTTTCCAAGCAGCAAACAATTATTAAATTAAATTTGAAACTAATCGTCCCTTTTTGAAGCAGTCATGAGAACTGAGGCCGGAAGCAGCTTAATTTTTCATGTTTTCTGTACAAACTGTAGGATGAGATATGTTTTTGATTCTTAACTCTTATCTGCATCAGATTTCACCTCGATATATGCAAGCCTGATGATCCTAGTTTGTCTAACGAAGTACTGTGTTTTTTTTAATCGCATTGCAAATATTTTTTTCATATTCACATACTAAGTATTGTGTTAAAATTACATTGTTAGACAATCTCTCCATATATATTTTGTCACAATCATTTAATTTGTTTATTTGACTTTAAAGATTATTATCACTATTATCGTGAACGTGTTTCCTTTTTAAAAAAAAATCCTTGTGAAATACTACAATTGTTTATTCTCAATTTAAAAATAGTACATCAATCTTTCATAAATGCACTGATCATTATGTTGTAGTATAATACTGATTGTCATTATAACTAAATCATTCGTTCATGAGAATAAATTCATTCATGAATTCTCACAAGTGAAATCATACTTCCTTGTTATATTCTCCTGGTTAATAAAAATTATATGATTTTATTTGTAACCCTTTTGCAAAAATGTCATTTTTTAAAAATGAAATGTAGATACTGCATTCGTCGATATATGAATGAGTTAATGCATGTATTTCTAGTTAACTTGCATGATATTGTATTCATATAAGTCTATATTTCTTTTATGGTTCTCCTTTGTAATGTGTAATGTATAAAAAAATAAATAAATTAATTGATTCCCTCTGTATACTCATCTCAGACTTTTGAGAAAAAAAGGAAATTGTGCATCTTAAATACAAGCTTAATGACATAAGTTTCTTTAATATACATATATAATACCTATATATGTACATGTATTTCTGTAATATATATTTCTGGTAAAAATATTTATATGTATATTTTTTTTTTAAATTATGATTCAAACAAAATATTCGCAATTCAATGAATACTTTTATTTAAAGGCTTTTATGTTTAGAACTCTCAGCTTCATTATTATCAACTTATTTCAAAGACCACTCACAATATATTAAAACAAAGATAAAAAATAGGTGGAAGTACAGTTATTAGATATTTACTTATTTCAGTTGAGGAGCCTCCTCTGATCACAAGTCTTTTCGAAGAATCCTACTACATGAAAGAAGAAGATGATACATCAAAAACCTTTCAATGTAGTTCATCTGGTAACCCCGCCCCAACGTAAGTTTGTCTTTTCGTTTCGTAAATTAAATTTCAGTTGGCCTACAGTCACAAAGGAGTTGGAAATCAGAAAGTATGATAATGTTATAGATTAGGGTATATAATATGTAATGTACAAAACTACACAAGAAGACATAGTTATTATCCAATAAAGGAATTCCAATTGTCTCTACTTGACTGTTCAACATTGAAGAGAAAGAAAACTCATTGAAATAGTGTTTTATCTAGATTGTTGTTCATGATGGTATATAATTTTCCACCACGAAAACGCTTCCACAAAAATGTTACTTTGGGTAAAAATTGTTTATAAAAAAATTGAAAGAAACTTCGTTTGTGAAGCAGGAAAAAATATTGTCCTTCCGTCTGTTTTATTTTTTTTATGATGTTTTTTAACCCTTTGAATCTTCTTTTTTATGTATAATTTGTTTAGGCTTACTGTTTTGATATATATTCAGATTTCATTCTCACCTGGTCTTGCAGAACATGTACTTTTTTTTACTATGTCCCAACTGTGATATTTAGGTAGCAATACACACTTCGGAGTTTGGTTTTGCATTTTGGCCCCGATGAATTTTTCAAATATGAAGGTTATTGTGCAATAAAATTGATTTGTAGATAGCGGAAGTATAATAGAGCCTTCAAAGTGGGTGTATACGAACAAGATTGTTTTTTGCATGTTAGGCCATTTTATGTTTGACAGTCCGTATTTTCACATCCGTACCGCCCAGAAATTATTGTAGTGTTTTCCAAAAATTTTTTTTACGCTCAAACTTTCAAATTCAATTTGATGGAAAAATTAGGTGAAGTGCATATGATTTTTATTTGATCTCTTAATAGATAAATGTCAATGGTTTCACCAAAGGTATCGCTCAATTGGATTAGTATTGCTACTTTGAACCAAATTATGGGACTTTTCATCCCCTTATTTGCAATATTTTGTATCAAATAAATGCAGAATATTGCCATGGTTACAGCATGAAGAGATCATATTTCACCATTTTTACTATTTGAAATCAAATCTATCAAAGATGCTGTTTCCATACATATGCACATACATGACACAAACAGTAAGCCTTATTTGTTAGAAAGCAAGGGAAAGAGGGTGATTACAATTTATGAGTGTCAATTTTAAGTGTTTTCATAACTGTGCTACCTCATAGCTAGAAATAGGAGCCTCATTGGAATGATTGGGGCATTATGGAACATTTTCTTGAAATCTAGAAATTATAATTGTTTGTCGTGTCGTTTTAGTCGTCCGTCACAGTGAAAGCTTGTAATGCACCTCTCGTCTTTTAAGTATGAGTAAAGCCGTGTAGAATAAGGGAAACTGTAGAAATACAGAACAATATGGGATGTCTATACTCGATAAAACAATGCATGCAAACATTATATATATTACAGATTTCAATGGAAACATGACGGTAAAGTACTCCATGATAGCCTACAGATTTCATCGAATCGAAACATAGGACAACTGACAATAACCAAACCCTTAATGCATGACTTCGGTACATATCAGTGTTTTGCCACAAACAAATATGGAACAGCAGTCTCTGCAGCATTTAAGATAGAAAGAGCATGTATGTTATTTTATATGTAAAAAACATGAAAAACTGAAATAGTCTTTTTGTGACTTTTAGGATTTAAATCGTTGTGGTAAAAATCTTTAATCTGAGTAAGAAATTATTTTGAATAATCGGTTTTTCAAATATTACATATTTACTACATGCCTATCGCAGTTAAATCAACAATTTTAACACCTTTTGCTGACGATTGAGATTTAATGGGTGTGTACTGAATAATATGCAAATAAACTATTTAGAAGTGCCAGAGCGTAAAAAGTCTACTTATAGTTTTTATTATAATATTTTTTCTATTTCTTTAAATTTAAATTTAGAACTTTGGTGGATAGTTGTCTCATTGGCAATCATACCACATCTCCTTATTTTTATATTGAATGCAGGGTTTGTTGCACGTCTTACGGTCAGAAATCACCTTTAAATTGTAGCCAACAAAAGACACAAATCAATAATCAAATTTAACACAATTTATTATACACAAGTTTACAAGAAATATTATACAAACTGAAATATCAACTTAACTGTTAAACTTTATGTCCGATCCTTTTGTCTTTTCTTTATCCTGAATTGTTCTCTTCATTGTTGCGGGAATCCAAACAGAATATTACGTCTAATAAGTCACAATCTAGTATGATGTAGTTAACGTAAATAAAAGTGTCAATCCAACAACTGCAAAGAACTTCTGAAAATACAAGAATGTAAATGTCTAATCCGAAAGTCTAACTTTAGTGTCTGTATATATATAGTTGTCACGGAAATCTCTAGAACACTGTAGAAGGGATACTCCTAGAAAACTTTAGAACAGAAACTTCGAGAATACGATTGAAGTTTTAATTACACATCGTAGATAATGATCATTCCAGAATTATTATGTAAGTCAAATAGAAAGTTCTAATCATTCCATCAGTATCTATGATTGGTCCAGTGATTTTTAAACTGCACAGTTATTTTGTAAACAACTATAAGTATTATGTAAACATACTATACATTTAATAAAGCCACACAAAACAAATTAGTCCAAGATAAATGCATATAATAATAACAATATCATAACACATCCCCCCTTAAAAAAATGAGTGTAAGAAGAGCTTTTTATGAACAATTTATATATATATATAAATACATAGTATGTATACAGTGTTTTAATAAGATCTACATAAAGCATCTGCTATTACATTATCTTTACTTTTAAAATGTTTTACAATAACATCATATTCCTGTAACGATAAACTCCACCTAGCCAACCTCTGGTTCTTGTTTCTCATTTTATGTATGTAGGTGAGAGGATTATGATCAGTATGAACAAGAATAGGATGTATAGTGGGATTTAAATAAACATCAAAAACTTGAAGTGCAGACAACAGTGCAAAACATTCCTTTTCAATAGTTGAATATTTTTCTGATGTTTATCTAATTTCTTAGAAAATATGATATAGGTTTCTCAACATTATCATCTGTCTCTTGATATAAAACGACTCCAACTCCTACATTACTTGCATCAATGGCAAGTTTGAATTGTTTTTTAAAGTCTGGAGGAATCAGAACTGGACTGTTAATTAAAAGTGACTTGTTATTTTCAAAAGCGTTTTGACAATTATCACTCCACATAAATTTAGAACCTTTCCGTAAAAGATGAGTCAATGGTTGAACAACAGTAGCAAAATTTGAACTGTTTCCTGTAAAATCCAATCATACCTAAATATCTCATAAGTTGTTTTTTATTTGTAGGAGAAGGAAATTTGGTAATTGCATCCACTTTAGCCATTAAAGGTTTCACTTGACTTTGGCCAACTGTATGCCCTAAATAATCAACAGTAGCCTGGCAAAATTCACTTTTACCAAGATTAACATTCAACGTTGATTGTGACAATCTATCAAAAGTATCATATAAATGTGTTAAATGCTCTTCCCAGCTATCACTACATACAATAAGATCATCAATATAAGCATAACAACAGTCTAAATCTTTTATAACATTATTGATCATTCAAATTTGATTGTGACAATCTATCAAAAGTATCATATAAATGTGTTAAATGCTCTTCCCAGCTATCACTACAAACAATAAGATCATCAGTATAAGCATAACAACAGTCTAAATCTTTTATAGCATTATTGATCATTCTTTAAAATAGCTGGAGCACTATTCATACCAAACGGCATGACAGTAGAGTGAAATAAGCCGTTTGGTGTGACAAAAGCTGATATTTCACGAGCTATCTGTGTCAATGGTACTTGCCAGTAACCTTTCAATAAACCAAATTTGCTCACAAATTTTGCTTGTCCAATGTTATCAATGCAGTCGTCTATCCTTGGAATCGGATAGGAATCAGATTTTGAAACAGAATTAATTTTTCTGAAACGAAAGGTTTTATCTGGTTTGGGCACAAGGAGACAAGGAGAGCTCCAATCACTGTTACTCGGCTCAATAATATCATTGTCAATAGATATAAGAAGAGTGCCAATGAGACAACTCTCCATCCAAGTCAAAATTTATAAAAGTAAACCATTATACCAAGCATATATCTAATTTCTTGTCTCATAAAATCAAGTTTTAGTGGATTGAGCCGGTAAGAATGTTGCTTAATTGGAGAAGCATCGCCTACATCAACATCAGTGGGTTTTTTTGGCACATCTGGAAAAGATTTTTAAAAGAAAATACCATAGTTTTTAATTTTTCTCTACTATCAAAAGTCAGATGTGCAAGTTTTGAGTCTAAATTTGACAAAATGTCTGAATTTTTCAATCTTACTGTTTGTTCCATAGTCTTTGAATCAAAAGCTGGTTCAATTATATCTGGTTTGTCATGATCGTTCTCGAATTCAACCATGGCCAAAGTTGCAACTGGTTTACTCTCACCTTCATTAGTACGCTAAAAATATGGTTTTAACATATTAATGAGACACACTCTATTTTGTTTACGCCGACCTGGAGTTTTTACAATATAATTCAAATCATTGGTTTTACTCTCTACTTTATAAGTACCACAATATTTAGCCTGTAAAGGATATCAAGGGACTGGCAAAAATACAATTACCTTATCACCAGGCTAAAACAAATCTGTCCCTGGCATCTTTATCATACCATATTTTCATCTTATTCTGATCAAGTTTTAAATTGTTCTGATCAATTTGACAAGCAGTATACATTTTTTCTTTAAATCTAGATACATAGTCTAGAAGATTCAAGTCAGTCTGTTCAGTAAGCCATTTTTCCTTAACCAATTTCAAAGGTCCCCTTACAGTATGACCAAACACCAACTCAAAGGGACTAAAACCAAAGGATTATTGAACAGCCTCTCGGACCGCAAAAAGTAGAAAGTGAACACCATCATCCCAGTCCCTGTCAAATTGAAGATAAAAAGTTCTAATCATGTTTTTATATGTTTGGTGAAAACGTTATAAGGCACCTTGAGATTCTGGATGATAAGCACTTGACCTATACTGAGCAATCCCTAACTGGTAAACGACCTGCTGAAATAAACCTGACATGAAATTTGAACCCTGGACGGACTGTATAGATTTAGGAACTCCTACTAACGTGAAAAATTTGATAAGAACTTTGACAATAGTTGGTGTCTTGATATTCCTTAACGGAATAGCCTCAAGAAAGCGAGTAGATGTACACATGATCGTCTTGGTCTAGGGGTAAAGGTCCAACGCAGTCAATTAGTACTCGACTGAAAGGTTCTCCGAAGTCTGGAATTGGCAGAAGAGGTGCTGGTGGTATTTTCTGGATAGGCTTTCCACCAACCTGGCGTATATGGCATGATTTGCAATATTTTGCGACATTATTTCTAAGTCTGGGCCAGTAGAAATGTTGTAAGATCTTTAGGCAAGTCTTCCTTATACCTAAATGTCCTGCCAAAGGAGTGTCATGGGCAAGACCAATAATTTCTTGCCTATAGACCTTAGGCACCACCACTTGGTATACCACTCTCCATTCCTCCTCTGGGATAGCATCAGGTGGCCTCCATTTCCTCATTAAAATACCGTCTTGATGGCAGTAAAATTCGCCCACTTTGCCTGCTTCCTCCTGTGTTTGAGCCCTCTTGTGGAGCTGAAGAACCTCAGGGTCTTTATTTTGCTCTTCCGCAAACTTTCTTTTGTCTAATGAATGGCTGTTCACGTCTGGCAATGGCATAATTACATGTTTGTTAGTACTAGGTGGTTTTATTATGGCCTTTTTTGAGCTACCGAGACTTTCAATGTCGGCAAAGAAAGTGTCAGAAAGGTCCATATAATCATACTTGTCCTCTTGCAAATACACATTTTGTTGTTTTCTTGCCATCGTCCTAGTAACAACAGAAGCTGGATACAGTTCAGCATCATTTTCCTGTGATTTAACATCCACAACCGGTTAACTGGTAGAAATTGGTTCAGCAACCACTTTGTTCCTAGCTAGATCATTTCCTAGCAATAATGAAACACCATCAACAGGGAGATTAGGAGTAACACCCACAACAACTGGTCTAGTAATTAAATCTGAATTCAGACAAATACGATGGAGAGGAACATCTATACAACCTAACTCCACACCTTGTAACAAAACGGAGGCACCAACAGAAGTCTCCTCGGACAAAGGCAACACACCTTCTAACAATAAAGTCTGAGAAGCTCCAGTGTCCCGTAAAATCTTAATAGGCGGAAAAGTAGTATTATCAACAATAGAAACAAACCCATCAGACATAAAGGGTTTATAATCTTCCATGTAATTACAAACACTGGACTTAAAAGCCTGACTCGCAGGACATTCCAACTTATTGGTTACAAGGGGTGTCGTACAAGCACTGGACTTGGGTTTATTATCTCTTTCATTCTTCTTCTGGAGTCTAAAACAATCAGCCATCAGGTGACCATTTTTATTTACAATATGCACAAGTTAGTGACTTCTTCTCAAAAGTATCAAATTTTGGACTAGACATATTATAACTAGACTGACTATTATTCTGTGCAACAAGCTTACCATCAGTACGCTCAGTACTTTGATTTTTGTAATTTCCGCTCGAAGTATTAAAATTTTGTCTATATGTTTCTGGCACAAGCCCATAAGCTTTTAAAACTAAATTTCAGCGGCCTTGCCCTAAAAAAACACTTTGCAGCATCGTAGTCCAATAAGGCTTTAGCCATTTCAAATTATGGGCAATTTTCTCAAACTGTGGAAAATATTTATCGACTGTTTTTTCACAAATTTGGGAACCAAACGTATATTTTTTGCTGCAACAAAATGTTCTGATTTTGTCTAGACTTTAGTGTTGCTTTCTTCTGCGACCATTTCAATTTTCATTTTCTCCATCTCTAACATTTGCCTCGTTTCAAGTTCTGCCTGTATTTATTTAAATTCAACTTCTTTTTCTTTTTTCTCCATCTCTAACCTTTCTTCTTTTTCTTTTTTCTCCATCTCTAACCTTTCTTCTTTTTCTTTTCTCTCCATCTCTAACCTTTCTTCTTTTTCCAATTGTTTTAATTCAACTTCTTTTTCAAACTGTTTTAATTTTTAATTCATGTTCTAATTCAAGCTGTTTTAATTTGATAGCATCAACATTTTCGACCTTAAGTTCAAGAGCCTCTTCACCTAAAATTTCTGTGTCAACTAATTCGTCTATTACCAAATTCTTTATAATTTGTTTTCTAATAGATACTCTAAAGTCTAATTTCAGATGTTTAGCAAGCAACGCTAATTCCTTTTTCTTTAATTCTTCCGACCCCTCCAGGTCTGGAGTTTTCAAAAATTTACCGGATTCTAATGCCATTTTGTAGAATTTTGTTGGCAAATTCTAATAAAAATACTGAAAAAAAATTAATAAGATATTAACGTTATCCCAGACGAGCCCCCAATTTCTGTTATGGTCAGAAATCACCTTTAAATTGTAGCCAACAAAAGACACAAATCAATAATCAAATTTAACAAGATTTATTCTACACAAGTTAACAAGAAATATTATACAAATTGAAATGTCAACTTAACTGTTAAAATATATGTCCGACCCTTTTGTCTTTTCTTTATCCGGATTTGTTCTCTTCACTGTTGCGAGAATCCAAAGAGAATATTACGTCCAATAAGTCACAATCTAGTATGATGTACTTAACGTAAATAAGAGTGTCAATCCAACAACTGCAAAGAACTTCTGAGAATACAAGAATGTTAATGTCTAATCCGAAAGTCTAACTTTAGTGTCTGTATATATATAGTTGTCACGGAAATCTCTAGAACACTGTAGAAGGGATACTCCTAGAAAACTTTAGAACGGAAACTTCGAGAATACGATTGAAGTTTAAATTACACATCGTAGATTATGATCATTTCAGAATTATTATGTAAGTCAAATAGAAAGAAAGTTCTAATCATCCCATCAGTATCTATGATTGTTCCAGTGATTTTTAAACTGCACAGTTATTTTGTAAAGAACTATATGTATTATGTAAACATATTATTCATGTTATAAGGCCACACAAAACAAATTAGTCCAAGATAAATAAATATAATTATTACAATAACATAACACTCGTGATGTGTGGATGCAGTAGAATGTGTCCCCGTGCTTGTAGTGTATGCCCTTATATTTTACAGTTATGTTTTTTTTTTTTTTTGCTTGTGAGAGAGCTGTCTACTGATAGTTTTTTATTATAACATTTTTTCTATTTCTTTATATCTAAATTTAGAACTTTGGTGGACATACTACATCTCTTTATTTTTATAAAACATTTTATTTAAAGACATATGTTCTCACGTTTACATAAACTACAAACTGCTAATTTATTAGCCTGTACACGCTTTGTTAATATTGAACATGGTTTCATTTTATGTGGAAAACTGTTCCTTAAGTTGATTATTTATATTTTACATGTGTAGGCATCTGGGCTATCTTAAGTTTAGATAACAATAACAGTCTAAACCACATTGACACTGGTTTCCTTTTTTCTATATTCATATGTGTCATAATTCTTGACTATTTTGTTTTGGTCCCTATTGGGTATTCAAGTATTTATACATCTTTGACTTTAAGTGTTTAGGTTTGAGCTTCAAGAAAACATAATTGTATGTTTTGTAAAATTTCGACACCCTAAAAATATGAAAGGAGACATGGATGGTTTAATGCTCTTCGAACTTTATTTACCCTTTTTAAACTGTTTTGATTCGAGCTTAACTGATGAGTCTTTTGCAGACAAAACGCGCGTCTAGCCATGGAATTAAAAATTTAAAGCCTGGTATCTATGATGAGTTTATTTTATCTATGATTGAATGACTGTTGGTTGTTTAATGTCCAGTGTAAATTATTTCATGTATATTCAGGACGAGAAACCGTTAAAATTATTGAATTATTAGGTTTGTTCCCAAAGACAGGCAAAATTAGGAATGAGAACTCAAACTGAAAATGAAGGCATTTTTTTGGAAAGGGGCAGACATTTACACTGTCAGCATGCCACCTACCAATTCCGAAAAGAGTTGTTGCAAGTTCACTTACAGAAAGCGAGCCACACGCCGTATACTACTAGAAATCGGATTCTAACCTTTTTAATCCGACCAGACGAATTTTTACATCCAACACTGCTAAACATGCGTCCCTATTTAGCAAGGGATTTACGGCCGGAAAGGAAAAAGTCAAGGACACGAGACAGTTTGAAACTTATTACCTGAAGGCACGAGTTTTCCAAGGGAATCTGGTTAACAGCTAATTAATATGGAAATAACTCTTCAGTGTTAAGTATTTACTTATGCCCAAGATGAATATCCCTTTAGATATTGCTATAATATAAAAACGCCCGACGGGAGTCTCTTTGTATGTAAGGTCTGTATATTATGATGCCTGAGAGGAGTCAATCTCTTTTTTACATAATGTCTATCTGTGATGATGTCCAATGACATATCTCTTTGCTAATGGGAATCTCTCGAAACAAAACGATTGTATTTACTGTTACCAAAGGAAATGCCCATTTCTTTAATACCTGGATAATACAATAATGCGCGAGGGAAATCCCTTTATATCAAATTCATTTATATTATGAAGAAGCCTTAGATAAATCAATCTACTTATACAACAAAGGTTATCATTAATAATGATGCTCATAGGGAATCTCTCTTTGCCATTAAGAATCTCATTAAACAAAACGATTGTATTTACAGATGACCAAGGGGAATTTCATTTGTACAATGATGCCTGAGGGGAATCACTTCTGGGAATGAGTCAGCACATCAATGTAAAATGGCATTAGGTAAAGAGATACTCCCAAGACAAGGTGGCCAAATTCCTGTAACCCAGTCAACCATGTTCTATCAAAGATTAAAACTCGCGGATTCCTCGACTAATTAGGCTACAATTTTAAAAAATCAATGTGGCCTGCAATTATATTTCATGTTATGCTCATCAATTTCTAATTACAAAACTTAACCACAGGAAAAACCTTGTTTTCGCTTTCGTTGATTGTCCTCAATAACCATTTTGTACCTGTTTGTTTTAGTAATTTCAAGTTTTAGCGACACAGTTGAAATGACATTAACAAGTGCTTACCAGTTTAGGAGTGTGTCTATACCATGTAGGGGTAAACCAAAGTGTAAACCTAAAAACGAGTGTAGGGTTGAATGGAAGTTAGGGGATGGAACCAGTAATACTATTTATGAAACTAAACGAATAGCTATTGATAAAGATGGTAAGTTTTTTTTAGCCATCAGGCCATAAAATTAAATTTTATTTTGTTCTACTACCTTTTAGAATCACATTCATTTGTTTATTTATTCATGATAGTATAAAACCTTTATTTTAATGACTTTTGACACATACTACATGTAGTATATATAAAAATAAGAAGATGTGGTATGATTGCCAATGAGACAACTCTCCACAAGAAACCAAATGACACAGAAATTAACTCACCGTACGGCCTTCAACAATGAGTAAAACCAATACCGCATAGTCAGCTATAAAAGGCACCGAAATGACAAATGTAAAACAATTCAAACGAGAAAACTAACGGCCTTATTTATGTACAAAATAATGAACGAAAAACAAATATGATATACAGCAACAAACGACAACCACTGAATCACAGGCTCTTGACTCGGGATAGGCACATTCAGAATGTAGTTCTTTATTTTTCTTTCTATCAAATGAAAGTAATTTAGCAAAGTGGTTTAGCATCTTATTTTGTTCTATTGAAATAAAGAAAGTTTACTGTGAAGTAAAAAGAAAATGAATCAGAGGCAACAGTGGTTAACCGATGTTTAAATCTCATAAATTCATTGAAAAGATTAAAATTAATGTTAAAAACAAAAACTGAAGAAATCGCATGAACTCCACAAGGAGCGCGACCGTATGCATCGACAGGATGATCACTTTCTATCATGCATGCATCACCCGCCATGCAAATCTACACTCAGTCAAAATGTCGATATCGGTAAAAGAACACAATTGGTAAATTTACTATTCATTATCTATTGTGGTATAAAAAGATCTTACACCGAGAAAAACATGTCCGGTGATCAGTTAGGAAACTGATATATCGTATCAGAGTAACCAATAAATGATGTTGACCAGAGCGAGTATAACACTAGAAACATGAAAAACCGAGAATGTAAAACATAGACGAGACAGTAAATACATATAGACAGTGAAATGACACAGAAAACATATTAAATTAAGTAACGGTTTGAGCAACAAAAAAAAACAAGGAAGAATGAGTCTCCGTGCTTGTGATGTATGCCCTAATTTTACAGTTATGGATTTTTGGCTTGTGAGAAATCTGTCTACCTTTAGTTTTGAACTCTGTAGAATGGTTGTCTCAGAGGTAATCATACCACATATTCTTATCTTATTTTGATTGAAAGGTTTTTCGCTCGTGCTGTGTAGATACAGTAGAATGTGTCTCTGTGCTTGCGGTGTATTCCCTAATTTTACAGTTATGGGTTTTTGGCTTGTGAGAGATCTGTCTGTAACCATACCAAATCTTCTTATCTTATATTGATTGAAAGGTTTGTTGCTTTTGCTGTGTAGATGCAGTAGAATAAGTCTCTGTGCTTGCGATGTATGCCCTTATAATTTACAGTTATCGTAATATTTTGCTTGTGACAGATCTGTGTACCGTTAGTTTTGACCTCTGGTGGATAGTTGTGTCATTGCCGATCATACCGCATTTAAATAATGATTGAAGGGTTTGTTGCTTGTGCTGTGTCGATGCAGTACAATGTGTCTTTGTGCTTGTGGTGTATGCCCTTATATTCTACAGTACTTGGGTTTTTTTTCCTTGTGAGAGATTACCATTAGTTTTGACCTCTGGTAGATAGTTCTTTCATTTAACAATCATACCACATCTCCTTTTTTTAATCTCACCTGGCCCAAAGCCCAAATGATCTTTCCTCATCACATATAAAAGAACATATGTGTACAAAGCAACGCTACAGAGAACATCTGACAGGAGAGAAATGTTTAGAATGCTGAGATCTACCTTCTACAATCAGGACTGTCAGACGAATTCTTATAGGAGTTATTGCCCTTAAATAGCTAATTTTACCATCTAATGCAATTGAACCTTCTATCTTAAAAATTATACTTGAGAGAAAATTTAAAAAAAATGATCAACAAGACAAGATCTACAAATACTTCTATATTGTTTAAATTGTTGGTTGACTCTTTGTAGGAGTAAATGCCCTTAAATGACAATTTATCCAATTTTATGTGGGTTTTTTTCTAATATGCTGAAAATATCATAGATAGAAGGAAACTTTAAGTAGCAAAAATGATCAGCAAGACGAGATCTACAAATAAATCAGCATGGCCCACTTCGTCAGTCAATTTGATATGAGTTATTTCCCTTAAATGGTGATTTTCTTTTACCACGTGTTTGCCTATTATCTTGAAACTATAATAGATAGATAGAAACATTAAAAAGCAAATATGATCAACAGGAAAGATCTACAAATAGATCAACATGACTGAAATTGACAGTTAACTCTTTATAGTTATTGCCCTTTAATTATGATTAAAGTCGACAGTCGCAGGATGCGAGACAGAAGGATAACAATCCGGCGGCGGCAAAACGTAAACTATCTGTATAAAGCTTTATATTTAAGAAAGTCGATGACCTGGATGCTTCATACCTTGTATGCCAATACCTTTTGCTACGAAAATTTTGTCTGTCATAGATATAAGAAGATGTGGTATGAGTGCCAATGAGACAACTCTCCATCCAAGTCAAAATTTATAAAAGTAAACCATTATAAGTCACAGTACGGTCTTCAACACAGAGCCTTGGCTCACACTGAACAGTAAGCTATAAAGGGCCCCAACAAATTACTAGTGTAAAACCATTCAAACGGGAATTCTTATCTATTACCCTTGAAATAATTTGTATGTTTCAGTGACAGCTTGAAAAATATATGGGTTTTTTTTGGTGAAAATTTTAATACACTTTTTATTAGTAAAACGATAACTATATTTTGTATATGTTTACCTTGCATTGTCTACTTGTCTATCAGACAGGGCTAACCTGACCTCGACCTCATTTCATGATTACGATCAGTGATCAAGTTTAATTTTCGTGGTAAAGTACGTTTGTCAGATTCCTTAAATTCAGAAATTATTGCGTGCATTTATTATTGCTATTTTGAAGAATAAGAATGGATAAAAATTATTACGATTCAGGATATCACAATGCGAGTTCATATTTTTGCGATCCTTGCCCAGTCGTATTTTTCGCATGTATAAATGCATCGCAATATTTCTGAATTTACAGTTCTATAAGCAATAGGGCCACTATATTTGTTGTATAAAGTTAAATCACAAAAATACTGAACTCCGAAAAAAATTAAAAACGGAAAGTCCCTAATCAAATGGCAAAATCAAAAGCACAAACACATCAAACGAATGGACAACAACTGTCATATTGTATGGAATTATTGCAAGATGTACATGTCTGCATGGTAGGTTTCATATGACATTGACCTCATTTTCATGGTTCATTGGTCAATGTTAAAGTCATATGATATTTTACATTTGAAAACAGTTGAATTTGTTTCATATACTTGAATGGCTCAGTTTTAATATACAGCACGCGTACTTGGACTTTTTTTTAAAATAAAATCCTTTATCTTATCAAAATCTTTAGATGATCCCGTACTCTTATTCGCCGATAGCTTTCATTTCCGTGTATGCAGTGACATTAACCAAAAGACTTTTTGCTAGAACTGCGACAACCGCACAGCGCAAGTGCGAGGGAATACTGTAATAAAACAAAAGGTAAACAAACGTCGAAGTTAGATAGTGTTAATTGATTTCGAACGTAAAAAATTGTATTCACCAAATCAATTAATAACTGTTATGACAAAGTTATATCGATAAATATTAACCCAAGAAAAATATACAAAATAGTTAAACATCTTTCTATAGCATGTCTATCATCTCACTTATTTTCACGCTCCATGATTCTATGTTGATTGTTTGCTATGGTATCGTTCGGTAAGCCTCGGAAATAAAACACGAAAGTAAATAAGGAGGAAAAGTTTTCAATGAATGGAATTTTTCTTGTCGATATTTGTTATGGATTCGTAATAAATCAATCGTGCACTAAAGACTAAGTCTAGTATATATACATGGATTGGTTCATTAATGTCCAGAACATATAATTTCAAAAAACTTGTTTCATATGACTTTTCATGGGTTTGTCAGTTTATCAGATACTATAAGCAATAGGTCAACTATTTTTGGTTTATGTAACGATAGTTAGGTGTACATGTCTATCCGGAAGAGTTGATATGACCTTGATCTCATTTTAATGTTTCAGGGGTCAATGTTAAGACTTTGTGGTTTGATCTCTTTCTAGTGTACTATTAGCGATAGGACCACTATATTTGGTGTATAGAATGATTGTAAAGTGGACTTGTGATTGTGATACTTGTAGTAAAACCCTCATATAACAGACTTTCAATCATAAGTAAAACAGAAGAGACATTTCAGCGTGTGCACGCTTGTTACCAAAAAGTGGTCATTGTTGAAGATGCAAATGAGCGACACAGGCTCTAAAGAGCATATAGGTATTTTTTTTTTTTTATTATTAAATTGATAAATCAACCTGAATAGACTGAAACTGTAAGACTGCTGTTATAATTGTCTTGTAAGTTATTCATATAATTGGTTAATACGAGAGGGTAACATAAAAAATGTTATAAGGTGAGTCATTTGTTTTAGTGGAATGTTACCCTCATGTTAACTTATTAATATAAAAATTAGCATGTTAACATAAAGTATTAAAATAAGACCAGTCTTCTGTTTGTCAAACCTCCTTTGTCCATGGGTAAGTGTTTATTAAACTTTGAATTGATTTCATATATTGAAAGTAATTATTCACATCTTTGCCCGATGGTCCATGGATAGTTATAGTTGCGTCATGGCATTCGTACTAGGCGTCTTATTTTTATTTGAAAGTGTAGTGAGACGAAACTTGAACAAAACTTAAAGCTGAAAATTTTTAATTTCAATGTTGTATGCTGAATAGGTACTCTACATTTTTTGTACGTTCGCCTTAATGATGAGTCTTCAGCAGCTGTGCCTTATTCATGTGGTATAAAAAATGAGCTGATGAGAGCATTTTACAAAGGCGGCAATGACATTTTGACAGTCCGTAGAGGTAATTTATTAAAACAAGATATACTTTTAGTT